TCACTTCTGCCATACTTCGTCGTTTTGTTATCAATATCTTCTACGAAGACTTATAATTTCAATTCAACGCCAGATACAAAATAGAAATCGGGTAAAGAGATATTCACTTTTCAAAGCTACATCATAGTGAACGATAGGATAGTGAAAGATATTATTAAGTTCAATTTTTGTAAGAATACGAAAAATTAATAACTGCTAACCAATAACTGGCTCAAATGTAAATAAGGTGAATATAATGATTGGTTATCAGCTATTAATTGTTCGTATAAACACTACAACGAAAGTTCATAATCAAGCGCCTATATATTATATGTATATAATATAACACTCCTATAATACTTATACTATATTTTCTCACAAATTTAGATACATGTACGTTGGAATCGATGAAATTAAAATCAAAGTAATGCGTCAATATAACGATACGGTCTAGACAAATTTGTTTCTAAGTTATGATCAAATTAATAAAATTAATTATTTCAACAAAAAAGATTAGAATTCCGATTCATACACGCATATCCCATCTATATTACTCATTACCCACACACTTATATATTAAGTAAATTATTCTCTTAGCTGTTAGTTCGCTTTCACGAAGAATTCCAGGAACCGTGGATTATTTGTTGCGGGCGTCCCAATAACGATGCTTCGTCAAATTATCGAGATTATCAATCCTTAGTCCACATCATATATATTTTGCCAACATCGCCATCGTATCCCTTCTATGGTCTGTGCAATATTCCGTTTTTCTTTTCCTTCTAATAAATTCTATGGATTGGGACACTGGCTCCTAATTTTCTGGCCCTTATCGCCTTAAGTATAATACAAATTGTTACACATTGATATTTAGAATTTTAACATGTTATTTTAGTCGCAAACGTACCTTAGTTATAAGCGAGACCGCTACCGTCCGTTCGGTTTACAGGTGGTTAGACGAAAGGGACCAAAAGGGACGAATAGCTAGCTCGTAAGCGAAAGGTCTAAGTTATGCACAGGTGGGGATAGATAGTGTTACGTAGGCCGTAGTGGCTAGCGAGGCCTTTAAATTTGATAACAAAAATTTAAAAGTAACCAAAAAAAAGAAACGACCGGAGGTAACGTGAATAATGTTTGAGTGAATTCCGAGCGGTAAGAATGCACTCAATGGTAGGTTCGCTGCTCGTTTAAGGTGTTGAAACACGCCTTGCTATTCCAACGTGGGTAGATATTCTCTGAAATGTTGAGGATGGGTAAGAGATATTTAAAAACGCGAGTAAAATGTGAGTTTACTATATATTGTTACCACCAATTTAAAAGTTTTCTATTAATTGTCGTGTACAGTGTTTCTATTATGAGAAATATCGGATAACAAAACCTAACTGTGTGTGAGGTTAAGGCAAGATGAAATTTGGTGGAACAGAAATCTACCAAAACTATGCGATATTCGGAAAGACTAGTCTATGCAGCTCAATTTTGCCCGGTAACAGATCCAGCTTGTTCCCTAGGGTATGTAATAACGAATCCGTACCTAGGCCAGATTGCGAATACTACACTGAATCTAATACTCTAACGGTTAGAGCCACGAGTGACAACGTGCAGTCCGATCTTTTACGCGTGAAATTGAATGATTTTCTCAGCGTCTGTGCCATGATTTTGGCTGCTTATATAGTCGATTTTTGCTGATGCTCTAGGTACGGTTAGGACGTTAGGAATGCACTCGGCTAACCAGCTGGGTAGATGGCACGGGCAATGCACTGGGTAACGTGCTGAGTCTGCAATTATGCTCCCTGTTGGCTACGTTATTCTTCTGTTTAGGAATGAAGGTCGATATACGTAACAATAGCGAATTTGGTGACACGTTAGGATCGCAATTATAACTACACTGATTTTCAACGTTTACCACGAGTCGATAACGTCGATTCATTACAATAAATTTATTCCATATCATTTTATATGTATGTACTGCGACGTTATTCCCCAAAAACACAATCCCAATAAGAAATTAGACGATAAAAGATATTCGGAAAGTAGGGAACCGTACACAAAACGCCGTATGATTCTCCCTCAAGAAATTTTGATATTCACGAGACCCGATACGCGATAAACGAAATAGTGTTGGGCGCCAGGTGGTCTCCGGGGAGAACACCACGAGTGCAGGGCACTCGAGATCTTAGAAATTCTGAAGAAAACGCGGGAAAGCTCGGAACAACGAAAGGGAAAAGGAAACAGGTAAGGCGACTCCGCCAAGAAGAAAAGAGACAGATAGATAAACGGCGACTCCGCCAAAATAGAAAAGAGGAAAATCGATAAACGGCGACTCCGCCAAGATAGAAAGAGAAAAGGTAGTAAACGGCGACTCCGCCAAGAACGTAAAGAGACAGGTTCACAAACGGCGACACCGCCAAATAGGGGAGACAAGCGATACACGAATACGGCGACACCGCCAAGATAATAGAGAGAAGCGCGAAGAAAACTAGAAATAGAAGCGAGAGAGAGAGAATCAAGCGGTCGACGAGAACTCCAAAGGTATACCCGGTTCAGAGGCTAGCTCACCTGGGAGAGCGTCGTGGCGTTCAAGAGGCAAGATGGGAGAGGGAATAGACATGCGAGAAAGAGAATAGGTAAAAGAAAGATAACAGAGAATATAAGTAAAGTGAACGCACCGAAGCTATATTAGAAAAAGCAAGAGCGACATGCAAGCCATACAGCAAACTACAAACTGTCGAAAGCAGAAAAGATAAAGTAAATTGCTAGTGAGAAAATAGAAATTGAAATATTAATTAAATAAAGAGGAGGATGCCATTCCTAATAACGAGAGCGAAAAATATGTAAACAATATAAGACAAAGAAAAGAAGTATTTAAAGTCAAAATTCTAGATAATAAAGCGACATATAACGCCGGAAAAAAAATAGAAAAACCCAAAAGATAGTCGCTAGAAACAATTAGACAGCCTCCACGGGAAACGGCCAAGCCGGAGACGCCGGGGCCCTAGGTGTTTCCACGTGGTCGAGAAGATAATCGGTAACTTATAAAATATTCGACAATTCCAAAGCACTAAATTACCACAAAACGCAATTAATTACAATATATTCAAGATTAAGTACTCTACGATAATAA